CAGGCCCGGGGGAGCAGGCGGGTCGGGTGCGGCCAGGCCCGGAGCAGCGGCTGCCAGGCTGGGAGCGGCCAGGCCCGGGGGAGCAGGCGGGGCTGGTGCGGCCAGGCCCGGAGCAGCGGCTGCCAGGCTGGGAGCGGCCAGGCCCGGGGGAGCAGGCGGGGCTGGTGCGGCCAGGCCCGGAGCAGCGGCTGCCAGGCTGGGAGCGGCCAGGCCCGGGGGAGCAGGCGGGGCTGGTGCGGCCAGGCCCGGAGCAGCGGCTGCCAGGCTGGGAGCGGCCAGGCCCGGGGGAGCAGGCGGGTCGGGTGCGGCCAGGCCCGGAGCAGCGGCTGCCAGGCTGGGAGCGGCCAGGCCCGGGGGAGCAGGCGGGTCGGGTGAGGCCAGGCCCGGAGCAGCGGCTGCCAGGCTGGGAGCGGCCAGGCCCGGAACAGCAGCAGCCAAGTCCAGAGCAACTAGGTCGGGAGCGGCAGTGACCAGACCCGGAGCAGCTGGTTGTGGAATGAACCAGAGCAACAGAGGCCAGGCCCTGAGCAGCCAGGCCCAGAACAGCTTGCTCCTTGCCTGCCCCTGCCCCACGGCTGCTTCTCAGACATGGCTGGAAACTTTCGTGGGAACTTGAGGGTCTGCTGAATCAAGTGATGAAGGCTTAGATCTGGATGTGTTGAATTAGTTTAGGACTGGGGTGTTGATCTGTGAGTGCCTTGGGTGGGGCCTGGATGAGGCTGGTTGACCTAGTGGGAAATGTCTTTTGTGTGAAGTGTATCATTGGGCATGTGGAGGTATTATTGATTTGAGAAAATGCTAAGTAACTGATTTACTATCTGAAAAGGGATTTACTAGCGGGGAAATTGAGGGAAGAAGAGACTGAACATAAACTGCACCTATGGATGAGGACAATGGGGGATGGGGGTGGGGGACGGAGGGTGGGGTGGGAACCTGGTGGAGGGGGGAAAAAATGAGGAACCTTTGTAATAATATGAACAATAAAGATTGATTTAAAAAAAAAAAAATAAAAAAATAAAAAAAAAAAAAATAAATAAAAGAAAAAAATGGGACACAAAAAAAAAAAAAAAAAAAAAAAAAAAAAAAAAAAAAAAAAATTAACTGTGAGCAGCTGTTCCTCCGTCCCAGCCCACTCGGAGCTCCTGGGAACTCCTGCTGGCCCCCTGCGGCTCCTCCCGCGCCAGCCTCTGCTCTGAGCCCTCCCATGAGCACGGCGAGCTCCGCGGAGGCGGCTCTGGGCCCAGCACGTGCCGGACACACCAAGTGTCCGGTGTGTGTGTAAGAGCAGTGACCTGATGCACTAAACCAGACGGCGGAGGGGAGACACCGCCGGACAGAGGGAAACGATGACGCGGCCGGCATGAGGAAGTGCCCGCCACGATCTCCAAACCAGACCTCGGTGAGGAAGCTCCACGCCACCATTTCCTCCGCGGCCGGAGGGAGCGACGCTGGGACGTCCTTGTGGGGTGAGGGGGGCGGGAAGGGGGGGGTGGTGGGCTGTCCATCAGAAGGCGCAGGCTGCCTCGCTCCTCCGGCCCCTCGCTCCCAGTCCTGAGAGCATCTGTTTACTGGTTACAACGCATCCAAACAAGCTGACGCCTGACCATCTTCCACAAAATAAACAATGGCAGCCGGACCCTGGAGAAGGATGGGACTCACAGCTCTGACACAGGACCTGGGCTCAGCGACGCCTCCGCCTGTCTGCTTTCCAGGTAAGACGCTCGCGCTTTGTTTACTGTTTACGGCTCAGACGCTTCCTTCTATGCCCACCATGGATTTCTGCTATCGTTTTACTAGTAGGTGACTTTTCAACGTCTGGTTCTAAAATGGACTGCTCTTGAATATGTGAAAAGTTAGACAGTTTATCATGGGAAAAGACAAAACCCATGCCCGAAGACCCTATACCGATGGCATAATTAAAGAAGTGATTCTAGTCCTGACCGGTGTGGCTCAGTGGATAGAGCGTCAGCCTGTGGACTGAAGGGCCCCGGGTTCGATTCCAGTCAAGGGCATGTACCGTGGTTGCGGGCACATCCCCAGTAGGGGGGCGGGGGGGGGGTGCGTGCAGGAGGCAGCTGATGATGTTTCTCTCTCATCGATGTTTCTAGCTCTCTATCCCTCCCCCTTCCTCTCTGTAAAAATCAGTAAAATATATTTTTAAAGAGAAGTGATTTTAGTAACCAGGGCAAAGTTGGGCTGATTTTCGAGTGATTAATTGACTTAGGTGAGCCCTCTGAAACGTGTAGTCGGTTAGCATTCCTGCCTAAGTGTCTGCAGCAAATGAAGAATACTGACATCAGAAGGAGGAAAGCGCCCTCTCCCCGTCCACACCGTCCACTTTACTCTGAGAGACCGCTGGCTCGGAAACAACAATCCGCCAGCACAGCACTGAGGCCGAGGCGCGTGCCCTGCCTCCGATCGCGCTGAGGTCTCGGGCTGGGGCTTCCTGGTCTTTCAGACATTCCGACTGTTGCCAAGGCGAATGTTACCAAGTGCCAACAATACCCACTGAGGCCGCTGACAGGGCGAGAGGGCCGCTCTCTGAGGGAAAGGAGGCTGCTCCCAGGCCTGACCGGCACTCTTCCCAGCCGGAGGGGAGCGGAGAGGGCAGCCCAGCCGGCAGGCAGCAGGGCAGCGGCAGAGCCAGAGCACGCAGGGCCCACCGCGGCCAGATGTGTCAGCGCCTGCGCAGCTAACGGGACAGCCCAGTGGAGGAGGGTGCTGTGGGAAGCACGGAGCCACGTGCTCAGGGCTGGATCCCAGCAGCATGCCCGTCCGTCCGCAGCATGCCAAACGGAGCCGGTCAGATCCCGCCCTCCCCGCCCCGGGGAGAGAGTGACAGGAGCGGAGGCCATGTGGCCTCTCTGTGCGCTGCGTGGGGGGAGGGTTCTAGAAAGGGGGACACAGCACCGACATCACCGAGGTGCCAGGAGCCCCGAATCCCAACTGGGCAGCTCAGTGCACAGCCCGGAGCCCAGGCCGGCTGAGCAGGGCTGTGCTCACTTCCGATTCCTTCACTTCCTTTCTCCCAGAAGTGTGTTCCCTACGGGTCCCTCCGGGGCCCAGAAGCTAGAGGACATACCTGACAGACAGACACACACACACACACACACCGGTTCCGGTGAGGAGCCTCGGCCCCCGGGGCCTCTCTGCCCATCCCCACGCCATCGCACCCTTCCTTCCCCTCCTCTGAAGACTCCTCCCGGGGGCCAGCTTCCTGGGCCGCTGACCCCAACACCGAGACACACACCCTCTCCTCGCCGCGGACGGCAGAGCTGCCGGAGATAAAACCACACCGGCAGGCTCTGCGCCCCTCCTCGGGTCACCCACATGCTCGGGCCCAGAGGAACCCGGACACGGACATCCTCCCTTTTAAAAAATCACGACTATGCCTGACGCCCGCTTTTAAAACGTTTGACATCTTTTCCTCCTTCGGTATCAGAGCCCGAGGATCCAAGTGCAAAGAGAGCCGTCACAGAAATACAAATAAAACCACGGGAAACGGGATGCAAAACGGATTCAGATGATTTCCCGAACACGGACACGCCGTCGCCGGGTTAGAGCCGCCGGGAAAACACGCGTTAAACCCTGACCCACCTCCTTTCACAATTCTAAAGGGGCATAAGCCACTCCCCACCCCCTACCGCCCCAAACTATCTTTGAAAAATTTTAAAACTGATTTCTGAGGAGAAGGGAGAAGGAGGGGGAGGAAGAGAGAGAAACATCCGTGATGAGAGAGAATCACGGATCAGCTGCCTCCCGAACACCTCTCACTGGGGATCCAGCCCACAACCCGGGCCTGTGCCCTGACCTGCTGGTTCCTAGCTGGACCCCTGAGCTCCCTTAACATCCGGAGAAAAGTGTGTAACCCTGAGACATTTCCCCAGCAAACGCACCACACGCCCTAGAAGGATGAACCGGCCCGGAAATCTTCCAAAAGGACCCTAAAAGCCACCAGACGGAACCGCTGGGCCAGAAGGGGCGCGGCCTCCTATTCTCCCAGCAAAACTCCCGTTTTCCCAGCGACCCAGGCTCCCGGCCCAGCCGGAGGCCTTTTCCTGTTGTTCTGCGGCCCATTGGCGGCCTCAGCCCGCGCCCTGGAAAGCCCTCTCCTGCTTGAAAAATAAAAATAAAGCGGGAGCGCTTCTTTCCCTCCGCGATCGAAGCCAACATTCGTTCGGGGCAGAGGAGGGGAGGAACGGGCCTCCCCGCAGGCCGAGACGGACTGGAAGCGGCACCGGGCTCAGCCGCGGCGCCTGGGGCGCCCGCAACCTCGGCGAGCGACTCCTGGCACCTGGATCCAAATGTCAAAATCCAGGCGGAGCTACGCCCCCCGCGGCCCGACCACACCGACACCGGCTCAGACTGGCCGGCGGAGCGGGCACAGCTATGGGGGGTCGGGGGATGCATCCATGAAAACCAACGGTCGGAACCGACTAAACTGCCCTGAAAGCAAACAGATCCGCGATCCCCGATCCCCGATCCGCGATCCAATCCAAGGAGCCGGGCGGGACCATCTCCTTCCATCCCTTCCGACCAGGCCAGGGCGCCGGGCTCCGGCCCGGACCCGCCGCGCGTGTCCCTCCGTCCTCCCCTCCCGGAGCCCGCGGGCCGGAGGGCGGGGAGCGCGGTGCTCGGGGCTCCCTCCCGGGGATCAGGGGGGCGCGGGGCTCCCTCCCGGGGGTCAGGGGGGCGCGGGGCTCCCTCCCGGGGGTCAGGGGGGCGCGGGGCGCCCTCTCGGGGGTCAGGGGGGCGCGGGGCTCCCTCTCGGGGGTCAGGGGCCGCGGGGCGCCCTCTCGGGGGTCAGGGGGGCGGGGGGCTCCCTCCCGGGGGTCAGGGGGACGCGGGGCTCCCTCCCGGGGGTCAGGGGGCGCGGGGCTCCCTCCCGGGGGTCAGAGGGCGCGGGGCTCCCTCCCGGGAGTCAGGGGGGCGCGGGGCTCCCTCCCGGGGGTCAGGGGACGGGGGTCAGGGGGGCGGGGGTCAGGGCGGGGGCCGCCTACCTGAGCCGAAGGCCTTGGCCACCAGCCAGGCCAGGTTGCAGGCGACCTTGGCCCGCGGGAAGTCGTAGTGGTCGAAGGGCTTGATGGCGGGGACGATGAACGTCCGCCGCAGCTCGCGGGGGTCCCCTGCGGCGTCGCCCATGGCGGCGGGTGCGGGCGCCGGGCCGGGCTCACATGGCGCGCGGGGGCCGGGGCGGCGCGGGGGCCGCGCGCGGGGAGCCCCCGCCTTCCGCCTCCGGCCGCCGCCGCCGCGAGCGCGCGTGAGCCGCTCCCCTTTGTCTGCGCCCGGGGCCGGCGGGGCGGCGGCTGCAGGCGAGGCCGGGCTCAGCGCCGGCGCCGGGGCCCGGGGCCCGCCATGGCGGGGCGCTCCCCCCTCAGGCCGCGGCGCGGGGGCGCGGGCGGGGGCGGCCGGCGGCGCGACGCTCCGGAAACGTCAAAATCTCGGCGGCCGGCCTCCTCCGCGCCCCCCGCCGCCGCCCGCGTCCGCCGCCCGCCCGGGAGACGCCGCCGCCGCTCAGGCTCCCGCCCGGCCGGTGACGCCCTCAGGGCTTCCCCCTGTCACGCCCGGTGCCTCGGATCGCGGCCGCCGCCGCCGCCGCTGCCGCCACCGCTGCGGTTTTCCGGCTGCGGCGCTGGACCGAGGGAGCAGCCGCGGGCACTGAGCATGCGCCCTCGCGCGGCCACGCCCCGCAAGGCCCCGCCCCCTTCAAGCCCCGCCCCTAGACCGGCCCCAGCCCGGCTTTTCCCTCAGCCGCGAGGCTCCTCGCCCCCGGGCGCGGCACACTGAGCATGCGCCTTCGGGCGGCCACGCCCCGGGAAAGCCCCGCCCACGACAGGCCCCGCCCCCTAATCCGCCCCAGCCCGGCTCCCCTTCAGCCGCAAAGGATCCCCGCCCCAGACCCGGCGCACTGAGCATGCGCGGCCTCGCTTTCGCCCCACCCACATTCTCGGCCACGCCCTCGTGCCCGCCCCTGACTGGCTCCCCTCCAGCCGCAGGCACCGCCTCCCGGGCGCACTGAGCATGCCCAGCTCCGTTTCCTTCCAGGCCACGCCCCGGGACACGCCCGTGGCCACGCCCCCTGCCATATTTCTCCAGCCGCGGGCATCTCCGCCCTCACTGAGCATGCGCCGCCCTCTGCAGCCGGGTCCCGGGTCCCCCCGCGTCTGCTTTGTGATCAGCACTGGATGGATTGCCCTCCTGGGCGGACATCCTCCGCGTCCCGGGCGCTGGGCCGCAGCCACCGCCGCTGCTGGGGAGGAAAGGGGAGGGAGGGAGGGAGGAGAGAGGCCTGGGAGGAGCCAAGAGATCTGGTATGGATGCAAACGCCGCTTAGGTGACACGGCTTGGCTGCGAATCTGCCCAGCACGCACCATTCTGGTTAGTCCTCCGAGGAACCCTCAAAGGTGGTGGCCGCGAAACGACGGAGGTGATCCGCCTGCATTCACTCACGGGGTAGGGGGCGCACGAGGTTGAAGGATCGGTAGAACCCCCCCCCCCCCTTTCTTCTCCTCCTTCTTCTTAATATATTTTATTGATTTTTTTACGGAGAGGAAGGAAGAGGGATAGAGAGTCAGAAACATCCATCAGCTGCCTCCTGAATGCTCCCCACTGGGGATGTGCCCGTCACCAAGGTCCAGGCCCTTGACCATAATCGAACCCGGGACCCTTGGGTCCGCAACTGATACTCAACTACTGAGCCAAACCAGCGAGGACAGAAAAAAAAAAATTTTAAATCAGCCTGTAGCACACAACTAGGAAACTGGCAGATCCAAACTTTGAATCCAGGATTGTCTTATTCCAAAGCCCATGCTTTGATGATCAGAGCTTCCCTGGAATTACTTGCCCTTAAGATAGGAACAAGAGCTCTGACAGGTTTGGCTCTGGATAGAATAGAGCGTAGGCCTGGGGACTGAAGGGTTCCGGGTTCGATTCCGGTCAAGAGCATGTACTTTGGTTGCGGGCACATCCCCAGGAGAGGGTGTACAGGAGGCAGTTGATGGATGTTTCTCTCTCATCAATATTTCTGTCTATCCCTCTCCCTTCCTCTCTAAAAAAAAAAAATCAATAAAATATATTTTTTCAAAAAGAAGAAAAAACATCGAAGCAAGATATTGGAAGCGTGAGGAGAGGAGCTTTGGGCCCTACTATGTAGAATAGCCTGGCCCGGCCCGTGTGTCTCCGTGGTGGAGCGTCCGCCTAGGAACCAGGAGGTCAGGGTTCGATCCCCGGTCAGAGCATAGGCCTGGGTTTCAGGCTCCATCCCCCGTGGGGAGCGTGCAGGAGGCAGCCGGTCCGTGATTATTTCTCATCCTTGACGTTTCCGTCTCTTTCTCCCTCCCTCTCCCCTCCTCTCTGAAGTCATCAAAAACGTCTTTAAAAATAAAAGGGTAGGCTGCTCCGCCAGCAGGCTTTGCCCCTTTAATCCCGTTTAATCCCTGCAAATGCTCACCGTGAACCCAGGAGGCCCCGGGTAATCCCTGCTGGCAGCGTGGGCCGGGAGAGGAATGTGCGTGAGGGCCATCCTAGGCCGCAGGGCGGCTGAAGTCATGTTTCAGCCACTTAATGACTGTGAACAGAGTCTGTCTCACAGGCACAGGGGCCCGTAAAGTTAACCTGCGGGGTCACAGCGCCCACGGGGGTTCGACTCCATTCCAGGGCCTGTACCTCGATGGCAGGCTCCTCCCCAGCCCGGGTGAGGGCGTGTGCAGGAGGAAACCGGTCAATGGGTCTCTCTCCCATCGGTTTTTCTCTCTCTCCTTGTCTTTCCCACTCTCTCTAAAAACCAATGGAAAAAATGTCCTCCGATGAGAATTAAATAATAAGACGAATCCTCTATAATAAAAGCCTAATATCCTAAGTGGCGGGTTGCCCGGTCGGCCGTTCAGCCAATCAGAGTGTAATATGCTGCCTAACCAGTGTGGCTCCGTGGACAGAGTGTCGGCCTGTGGACTGAAGGGTCCTGGGTTCCATTCCGGTCAAGGGTATGTCCCTTGGTTGCGGGCACATCCCCAGTGGGAGGCAGCTGATTGATGTCTCTCTCTCTCTCATCAATGTTTCTAACTCTCCCCCTTCCTCTCTGTAAAAAAATCAATAAAATATATATTTTAAAACAAAAACAAAGTGTAATATGCTAATGATATGCTAAGGCCACTCATCCGTTCACTATGACATGCACTGACCACCAGGGGGCAGACGCTCCAACCCATAGGTTAGCTTGCTGCTGGGGTCTAGCCAATGGGGACTGAGTGAGATGGGCCAGACACACCCTGGAGCCCTCCCACGGTCCCTCCCTGGCTGGCCAACCACCCACATTGCTCCCTGGCCATCCCCACCCCCCCATCCCGAATCCGTGGGGTCCCTCTGCCTGACCTGTACCCTCTCACAATCAGGGACCCATTGGGGGATGTCGGAAATCCAATTTCAGCCGAATCTCACAGGCCAGGCCGAGTGACCCCACTGGTGCACGAATTCGTGCACCAGGCTTCAATAATAATAATAATTAATAATAATAGCCAAAGCCAGTTTGGCTCAGTGGATAGAGCATCAGCCTGTGGACTGAAGGGTCCTGGGTTCGATTCTGGTCAAGGGCATGGACCTTGGTTGTGGGCACATCCCCAGTGGAGGGTGTGCAGGAGGCAGCTGATCGATGTTTCTCTCTCATCTGTGTTTCCGACTCTCTTTCCCTCTCCCTTCCTCTCTGTAAAAAAAAAATCAATAAAATATATTTAAAGTAATAATAATAATAAATAGCATAGCCCAAATCACCTGCAACTGAATGCCAGCCCGACAAGACAAATCCAGAGACACCTGTGGCCTGCCAAGGTCGGAGAGAGAAGCCGAAACACTCGCCTGGGGGATTGCCATCACCCGCCAGCAGAGCCGAGGCGGCTGAGGCCAGGAACCAGGTCCAGCCCGCGTGGGGCCGGAGCGGGTGCGGGGTCAGTGCTCTGGGGATCGGACCGGGAGGGAGCGACACCGCAACCTACATAGGCACAATGCGGAAGAGGAGGAGACAAAGGCGCGGCTGTGGCCGGCCCTCCGATGCCGCGGGATGCATTTCGGTGGCCCTGGCCCCGGCCGCCTGCGTTTTAGGAACGGGGGTGGGGGTGGGGGGGCGGGGGGAGGCAGGGCTGCCCGCACAAAGGCCAGCTTTCACTCCGCAGGGCGGCCGAGACACCTGGGGTCACAGCAGGAGGCTCTGTGAACGGAGAGACACCCCGCGGACAAAGAGGGATTCATGCGGAGGGAGACGGGCGCCCTGAGAGGGTGCTCTTTGTGGCACCTCCAGAATGGTCCCTTTTAGACGCCGGCGTCGCCACAGCGCGCCCGTCAGAGAGGGGTGCCCGCCCCGGCCTCCTCGGGATCCAGGGCGTCGAGGAAAACCAGCCCCACGGCCCGGGGTGCCCCGGGGCCCTGCCCGGCCGCCCGCCTCTACAGAAAGCTCCCTCTGTGTGTTTGGTCTCGGGGTTTAGCATCTCTGCCCGACGGACAACAGTGTATTCACTCCCTCCGACACGTACCCACCTCCTCCCTGGCTTATGTTGCTTTCTGTGTATTTTTACTTTTAATTTTTAAAAATATATTTTATTGCCGAAACCGGTGTGGCTCAGTGGATAGAGCGTCGGCTTGGGGACTGAAGGGTCCCGGGTTCGATTCCGGTCAAGGGCATGGACCTTGGTTGCGGGCATATCCCCAGTGGGGGGTGTGCAAGAGGCAGCTGATCGATCACTCTCATCGATTCTAACCTCTGTCTCCCTTCCTCTCTGTACAAAATCAATAAACTATATTTAAAATATATATATATATATATTTTATTGATTTTTTTTTTTTTACAGAGAGGAAGGGAGAGGGATAGAGAGTTAGGAACATCGATGAGAGAGAAACATCGATCAGCTGCCTCCTGTACACCCCCCTCTGGGGATGCGCCTGCAACCGAGGTCCATGCCCTTGACCAGGATCGAACCCGGGACCTTTCAGTCCCCAGGCCGACGCTCTATCCACTGAGCCACACCGGTTTCAGCTGTTGCTCACTTTTAACGAGTCACACTCATAGCTGCTAGCACTCGCTACTTATTAACACTTTCCACGTTATCTTATTTCTCTATTATCTTATTTCATCCCCACCACAGCCCCGTTCTTAT